ATGAGAAATAGTTGTTGTCAGGTTAGTGAGGCTTGTTACCATATGTTAGCTTTATCATGCATTATTATACAGAATCAGTTCCTACCTCTGTCCCATTATAGATATTATATTTCCACATTTCATATTACTAAATGTTGCAATTATAGGACAGAGGTAATATTGGACACCCCACACACACATCTCCTCCTCTCTTTTATTCTTTCTCTCCCCCCTCTCTTTTATTCTTTTCTCCCCCTCTCTTTTATTCTTTTCTCCCCCCTCTTTTTTATTCTTTTCTCCCCCCTCTCTTTTATTCTTTCTCTCCCCCCTCTTTTATTCTTTCTCTCCCCCCTCTCTTTTATTCTTTTCTCCCCCTCTTTTATTCTTTCTCCCCCCTCTTTTATTCTTTTCTCCCCTCTCTTTTATTCTTTCTCTCCCCCCTCTCTTTTATTCTTTTTCTCCCCCCTCTTTATTCTTTTTCTCCCCCCTTTTTTATTTTTTTCCCCCCTTTTTATTCTTTTTTCCCCCCCTCTTTTATTCTTTTTCTTTTCTCTCCCCCCTTTTATTCTTTTTCTCCCCCTTTTATTCTTTTTCTCCCCCTCTTTTATTCTTTTCTCCCCTCTCTCTCTCACTCTCTTTTATTCTTTCTCTCTCTCACTCTCTTTTATTCTTTCTCTCTCTCCCTCTCTTTTATTCTTTCTCTCTCTCTCCCTCTCTTTTATTTTTTCTCTCTCCTCTCTTTTATTCTTTCTCTCTCTCTCCCTCTTTTTTTTTTCTCTCTCTCCCTCTCTTTTATTCTTTCTCTCTCTCCCCTCTCTTTTATTCTTTCTCTCTCTCCCCCTCTCTTTTATTCTTTCTTTTATTCTTTCTCCCCCTCCCTCTCTTTTATTCTTTCTCTCTCCCTCTCCCTCCCTCCCCTTCTCTCTCCCTCTCTCTCTTTGGTATTTTGTCGTATCATTTGAGTGATGATGCATTTTATTTTTTACAAACTTTTTTTTTTTTTTTTGTTTATCAAGCAATATCTGTAACTTTGTGTTTGTGAGGTGGGCTGGAGGGAAATAGTTGAAAAGAAATCCTAATTATCATATTTGAATACCACCCTTGCTTACACACACATCTTTTTTCTCTGGCTGTGTATATGAAGTTAACTAATCTATGCTGATTTGTTCCTGTACTCAGAAGGCTACCAGTACTCCTACCATGTCTCTAATAATAATGTAAAATTATATGTAAAAAGGTAGGCATAGCTCATTAAATACGGTATCTAGACTCTACACAAAGATTAAATTGAATTTTGGTTCTGTCCATTTAATCCATATCCTCTTGGCACTAGTTCAAACCGATATCTTCTTCTTTGCATATATTATGACAATTTTGCTTAAAGATTATATTTTCTGGATTCCAGATGAAAACTTGGAGATTTTCCAACATATTTCAGTCAAATTTTTTCTTTCTAAAATTTATAGTTCATAATTATAATTCAGAGAACTTGGGAGTACAGGAAGAAGACGTCAATTTAAACTAACACCAGGAAGCTTAGATGCCTTCTTGCATATATTTCACCAAAATTTCCACTTTCCAAAATTATAGTTTGCTAACCAAATCCTGGTCTTTCAAGCATTTCTTGTGATAATTTAAAAATAATTCAGCAAATGATGTTCTTTTATTTATGGTAACTGGATTTTTAGTGATTGCCTTACTCAGTTTCTCTTGTTTGGTAGTGTGTGTCTGAAAAATGGTGCTTTTATTGTGGTTGGCATAACTTCTCGGTCTTTTGGTTTAAGGAGGTTCAAATAATTTTAAACTTAAGTCTCAGGAGGCTTTTCCCCCAGGCAGTACCTCTTCTCTGGGAGGGAGCCTGGCACCTGAGGCATCCCTAAAAGAAGTGCCGTGGGGGTTTGGGCAATTTTTGCACAGTATTGCTGTTACACCCACTTTAATCCGCAACCTTGTGTCACATTCATAGTAATGTAGGTGTACTGGAAAATAAATGCTTCTCTGCATTTTGCCTAAGATCAAAGTGTAATAGCTATTAACAGTTTAATCTGATTTTCTCTCTCTGCTTTTTTTTTTTTTTTTTTTAAACTTTTCTTTTTTAAACTTTTCTTTCATTTTCTTACTGAAACCAAGTAGTATCTTTTCCCCTATTCCCACCGAGTTAAAATGGAATAGTCCATTATTTATGAGATATTGGCAGGGCATAATGGTCGTGCAAACCTAATGAAAGGAGAGACAAGCACCATTATGGTAGGATAGTTTTCATAAATAGAAAACAAAGAATGTCAGTTTAAACTAATCCCAGGGGGATATCGTTTCTGTTACTCTTTTAAATCTTATAATATATATCATGTTCAGTGGATAGTATTCATTTGTTGTGCGGTCATTGTGAGTTCAATTTTTGAGATCAGGTAGTGGAATTATATATATTTTTTGAGCAGAATATCTCTGCCTGTATATTGAATAAAGAATTTGCTTCAAAACTCTCCTTGGCAGAATTTAAAAGCATTTATGTGGCTTTGAAAGACATTGGATTATTTACAATCCCTTTCCCTACATTTTTTTTCCAAAGCAAATGTTCAGATAAACTACATTCCTGAGTTCCATCAGTTCAGAGCTTCACATCTAGGACCCACTATGCGATGTATATGCCCTGAACTCTTTTTCATTCTCTTCGTTTTCCTTTGGTAAGATGGAAGTTCCACTTGGACAACCGTCCTGGGTATGATGATAAACTACATCCGCATCATTGTGGATAAGACGATAAACTGCGTCCAACAGCAAGGCCTCTGATCAGGGGGTTTTGAGGATCGTGGAACCACCTCTTCATTGCTGGCATTCCCAGGTTCACCCTGATCTGGGGTGGTAGCACCTATTAGGGTCCCAGCTACGGGCAAGTAGTTGACACCCAAACTTGTGTAAAAATAGGTTTTAATACCAGAAATACTTTGTAATAAAAGAAAATATTACCAGCAATAATTTTTAAAGGAAAAATTATTATCAGCAATACTTTAAAAAAAACAAATTACCAGCAATACAAACAGCTATACATTCTTTGAAAAAAATATTATCAGCTATAGATTTCTTTAAGGAAAAGTATTCCCAGACTTTTGAAGAAAAACATATTACCTGCAATAAAAATTTTGTCAGCATTAAATAACCCATTGAGGTTGATATGGCGTAAAACAAACCAAACCACTTGGACAACTTCTTTTCCAGAACAGTCACTTTGTGAAACAGACTCTGGGAAAGATGCTTACCCAACCACTACAATCTTAACCACTTCAAGTAGTCTATGATTAATCATTATATATCCTCATATAATGTAATTCTTACTTTCTCCTTTTACAATCTTACAAGAACCTTATACAACTGAAACCACCGTACCATGTCCACAAGTTTAAATCACCTTAATTCCCTCTGTATTCCATTGGTGAGAAGAAAGTTCCATTCCAACAGCTTCTTTCCAAGAAGTACTACTTGGTGTACGACAGACCCCCCCAAAAAAAAAAAAAGATGCTTCTCCAATCACTACAATTTTATCTTCATCAAGTATAGGGTCAATTATTATATATCCTACATATCATCATAATTTGCACTTATTTCCTTCTGCCTATCTAAAAATCTCATTCATTAACCTTCTATCTTGAGTGGCTCATGGGACTTGTGTTGAGTGATCATCTCCCCAGCTATGGGTTCAATAGTAGGGCAGACTGGGTTCTATAGCCTTGGTTGGCAACCAGTCTACCACAAAAAAGGGAACTTACTGTGGGAAAATCTTCTGCTTAGTCATTATCAATGTGTATCTATTTATATATTTCTGGTGTATGTTTTATCTAATTAAATCTGTAGTGTGAAGGGAGATAAAGCAACTTATTTTAGTCAGTTTATGAGTGATTACTTCCCTTAGTCATTTTAATAATCTATACAAATAAAATTTATTTGCATTTTGACAAAATTTCTTCCCAAGCAAAATGAACTGTTTAATTAATCAGTTCCTTTAGTCTTATGTTTCTTAGATTGCAGTCTTATTTCTTCAAGCTTTTTATCTGAGGCACTCAGATACCTTTTTCTATGAAGTCATCATCTTCGTTTTGAAATACAAAGAAAAGACAGAATATGTTAGTCACCTGAAGAAAGTTGGAGATCACAAAAACTGAAACAGAACTATAACAATCAAGCTGAGAACAGTTCAAATAAATTGACATAGAATAATTGTATTAAATATTAATTTAAATTAAATAAAATAATATTAAATTAAATAATATTAATTATAAACTAAAATTAAATGAATTAATATTAAATATAAACTAAAACTAAATAAATTAATATTAAATATAAATTAAAATTTGACAGAAGTTCTTTGTCTCAACAATTATTAATTTTTAAGTACTATTTCTTTCGTTTTAATTTCAGTTGTTTTTCTTCATAGCAATTCAATTGTTTGTGATCATTGATAAATGTTGAATTAGAAATAAAATAAAATCTTGACTTTATTTCCATGAGGATTTTGTTTATTCTCTGACAATGACTTTGATTTGTGGAGTTTTACTGAGGCTTGTACACTGACACTCTGAAGAGTATCAATGAGAAGTAACTAAAATTAAGATGAAAGAAATACTAGTGAAAAATGAATAATAATTGCCAAGGCTTCATCTAAGAAATTCAGACAACTTAAGACTATTACTATTTGGTGGAAAAGCAAGAGAAATAAGATGAAAAAAAATACTAGTGAAAAATGAATAATAATTGCCAAGGCTTCATCTAAGAAATTCAGACAACTTAAGACTATTACTATTTGGTGGAAAAGCAAGAGAAATAAGATGAAAGAAATACTAGTGAAAAATGAATAATAATTGCCAAGGCTTCATCTAAGAAATTCAGACAACTTAAGACTATTACTACTTGGTGGAAAAGCAAGAGAAATAAGATGAAAGAAATACTAGTGAAAAATGAATAATAATTGCCAAGGCTTCATCTAAGAAATTCAGATAACTTAAGACTATTACTACTTGGTGGAAAAGCAAGAGAAATAAGATGAAAGAAATACTAGTGAAAAATGAATAATAATTGCCAAGGCTTCATCTAAGAAATTCAGACAACTTAAGACTATTACTACTTGGTGGAAAAGCAAGAGAAATAAGATGAAAGAAATACTAGTGAAAAATGAATAATAATTGCCAAGGCTTCATCTAAGAAATTCAGACAACTTAAGACTATTACTACTTGGTGGAAAAGCAAGAGAAATAAGATGAAAGAAATACTAGTAACAAGGATTCATCCAGGGTTGAGAATTCAAGATAATAACCTTTACTTTTTCTTCAGAAGAGTCATTCCGATTCTGTTGTCATTCCTTCTCTTGCCACTCACAAGGCTACTTAGAACTTTTGGGTTGTTCAACATGAAATTACTGCTTTATTTAAAAAGGAAAAAAGAGAAATAGAAAAAATGGCTTCAATTGAAATCTTCTCTTTTTAGCTTTTGTGCATTTATTCCACCTTGGCAGCAAGTTTATTAATCTTCATCTGAAAGAATTCCTCATTCAAAGAAATATCTTCTTTGAAATCTTCTTCAATTTGATTCTGACTTAAAAAAAAAATTAAAATGTGAGCCTCTGTTGAATGATTGAAATAGTTTAGCAGTGGGTGAATGTATTCCCTGAGAAGAAAGTTGAGCGAATAAGGCAAAGTGCACTTCAATCAATTCAACTTGTGCAATGTCATTTTTGCAATATCAGTGTGATTGTTAGGCAGCAAAATAGCAATTTTTCTATTAACCAATTTGTGTTTTTGAATATACACATTTTTAAACAGATCGACAAATCTTTGTATTAATTTCTGTGACACTTTTCAGTGTTTCTCAATTTTTAATTCGGGGTGCACTTGTAGATAACTAAAAGTCCGGGGTGCACTTTAAATTTGAATAAGGAAAAATTAATCATTAA